TAAACTATGATTAAATAATGTTAATAACAATGATTATTAACATTAATAGCAATTATTATTTACGCAATTGACTTCTTATTGCCAGCAGTTATTCTAATTGCTTTGCACATTTTAATAGATATAATAATCCTCACTAAAAACCTGTTAAGTATTATTATTACTGAGCCTTTGATAAATGAGGAAACTGATGCACAGGGAGAGAAAATAACTTGACCAAGGTAACACAGCTAGTAAGTAGCAGAGTGTGGACTAGAAGCCATGAAGTCTGACTCTAGAGTCTATTATGCTATACTGCCTTTCATGGAGATTTAAGAGATAAAATAACATGCCATCACCTACAAACAACTTAAAGAACAATAACATGAGTAGATAACACACGTGCTAAGTGAAAAAAGCAAGATACAAAGCTCATATGGTAACACAAAAGTCACGCATCATGATCCCAATTCCGTCTCAGAAAAGTATATAAATGTATGCATTAAAAAAGACAGGAAGGAAAATTCATAAAATTTCAATAGTGAATATCTCTAAGTGATGAAATTACAGATGACTTTTCATTATATTTTTGAGTATTTCTAAACCTGTATTTCTGTTATAAGAATGAGAAAAGCACATTCTAATTTTATCAAAAGGAAGAATATATCCCCAAACCCATTAATATTTCCTTTTAGCTATAACAAAGGACATTTACTGCTTCAACAGAAATAAACATTTACTTTCATTTGTATATACTTTGTGTTGCCGCCCCAAATAAAATAGAATTCAATATTTTTCTATATTCAAAAATAACAATAAAGAACAATAAAGGACAAGATCAAAGTTGCTGCAAAAAGAATCTAACTTTTCGTTTAGATGAATAAAAATTATCTGCCCTAACACAGGGCACTGAAGTATAGACTCAGATCCCTTATACCCTCTTAACTCTGTATTTATAGTAACAAGGAAGTGCCTATAATGTAGCACAAAATGCTAAGAATAGTACATAATATATATAACCTTTTTAAACACCAAGACTAACTCTAATAAAAATCTGAAAGTACCTAAGCCCCTGCTCCTTAAAGTAAAAAATTTAAAAGCCTCCAAATCATATTTCTGCTTAATAATGCAGAGCTGTTATAAACCGCTTAATAAAAAGGGTAATAGGGTACTGCCCGATTTAAGACTTTTTCTAGAGCTGACCACATTTTCGAGTTAATAAGTTCTGTAGTAAAGCAGATTATCTCAAAGAATACCTTCTTTGTCAATCTTGCATAGCAATGAAACAAAAGAAAACCTTAGAAAAAAATCAATTCACACATCACTTTTTAAACCTCTAATGCATTAATGAAATTAAGAAAGTCTTAAATTGATCAGAGGAATACCATCTGATATTTACATATTTTATATTTTAAACATATAAACTTGTCCTCATTTCTTGTCTATAAGTTTATCTTTTACATGAAAATTTTATGTAATTTTATATATACTTTTTCAAAGCCATTCCTCACCACTGACCACCAATTTCATACACAGAAAAAAAACACACGTAAGTTTTCCTGCTTTACCAGACCTTATCTAGAACATTTCCTCTGAGATGAGCTACATACTAAGAGTTTAATTATCAACTATACAGGCATTACATCAATTTATTAGTCTTAATTTACAAGAGGAAGCCGAGATTAACATAAAAACTAAGAAGCGATTGCCAAGTTTTATAGAAAAAGCCTAACAGATCTAAGAACTTTAAGGCTACCCGGATTCAGTCTCCCGGGTGACTCATCTGGGCACTAAGCACAGCTTGTTTTATTAAGTATAACTGCATAAATTCAGAATATAGTAGGAAATCAACTGCAAACAAATGAGTCCACAAAAAGACTGATGAAAAGGAAATTAACCTTTAAGATGTGGTTAAAAAAAATGTTACACTGAAAGACTTGAGAAATTCTTAGATAGTAATTGCCTTTTTAAAGATGTTAACTTCAAAACTTATCTATCACTTACATCATTTGAACCTTTTCTTTTTGCATGAAGTCTATAAATGAGAAAATCACCCCAATTTTTCCAACCAGGTTCTAAGTCATATACTTATAATTCAGTTTTTTATTTTTTTTATTTTTTTTTTAAGATTTTATTTATTTATTTGAGAGAGAGAGAGAATGAGAGATACAGAGCACGAGAAGGAAGAGGGTCAGAGGGAGAAGCAGACTCTCCGCTGAGCGGGGAGCCCGATGCGGGACTCGATCCCAGGACTCCAGGATCATGACCTGAGCCGAAGGCAGTCGCTTAACCAACTGAGCCACCCAGGCGCCCTAATTCAGTTTTTTAAAATTAACTATGATTAACAATTATGCCTGCTGAGTACGTACGATGAAAATATTTTCTTCAGCTGAAAAAGCTACCAATAAAATCCATAAAACAGCATCTTCAGTGAATTTTTCCACCATGTCTAATGTTACCTGGTAACCTTGAAATGCTAGTTAAAATTAAACAGAGAAATAAGGTTTCTCAGGGTTTAATATAGGAAATGGATGTGGTTATCTAGTATGACACCACAAAGTAAAGATGGAGAAACAGTTAAGAAAACTACCTAGGGCTTAGAATTAAACAGTGCCTGGTTGCAAGTTTCCTTTAATCCAAAAAAGCTATACCTTTGCTTAAACAACCAATTATAATCTATACATGTGTACAGATGCAAACATTTATATACACTCAAACATACACATGTATGAATGTGTGTATATATATGAATGTTTTATATAAATGTATTATGTATATATATACATTTTCACATGTATAGATTTGTACATTTAAAAAATTTTCATCTGAAGAAGCTAAATTTAGAAACAATCCTTTTTAAATATTCCATACTTTTAGGGAATATCATGACTAACTTTATTAAGATTTTATTTATTTATTTGAGAAAGAGAATGAGAGAGAGAGCATGAGCGGGGTGAGGGGCAGAAGGAGAAGCAGACTCCCCACTGGGCAGGGAGCCTGATGCAGGGCTCGATGCCGGGACTCCAGGAATATGACATGAGCAGAAGGCAGACGCTTAACCAACTGAGTTACGCAGGCGCCCCAATATCATGACTAACTTTAACATCTGAGTATCCAAATTCATTTACCCAAAATAATCTTACCACTGTTAATTATAATCATGTAGAAATTAAACCATGCAACAAAAATATTCTAGTGGAATATATTATAAAAATCAGTGTCTCTACAATTCCTTTAAGTTCAACTGCAGCCCATTTTCAGGATCTTTTTTGGCCAACTTCATTTGATATGGAACAGGTATACACTGTCCACGGTTGCTTGGTTTGTGCTCATTATCACAATACATTCAATTTGGCAGCATCCAGCTACCACAGGTCAATAACTAGCTACCAGAAGGCAGGTAAGAAAAAAATCCATATTTCAAGACAACATCCTGAATATTCACCCACAGATGCTAATGTCACCTCCAGACTTCATCTTCAGAACTGTGTAGAGAATTCATATGTACCTATTTTCAATAATCTGCAGTGGATTGAAGATGGGATTTTACAATGAAGGTTCTCTTACCAAGTTTTTCAAGTAAATTAGGTTTTTATAGAGGAAAATCATCTACTGCATCATTTTATGCTCCATTTGACAGAAGTCTAAAAATCCAAAACAGATAAAAATTAAGCCTTTTATTTTAGCAAATCTGCTACCACAGACCCAATGGGCAATGGTGACGGTCACTGTAATTTTATATGCACAAACTGACAAATCCTCTGTTCCAAAGACTTTGGGGGTTATGAGAGAAATAGTGATAGAAAGACATTAACTGAATATATTTACAACTAAAAAAAGTATCAATATTTTAACTCAAAGCAAGTAACTAAACTGAGGACCCTCCTAATAAACTCCCTTGCTTTTCCAAATTACAAACGCAAACACAAAAGCACTCTAAAATTTAAATGTTTTATTGTCTTCTCTTTTTATTTTGAAATCACTATATATGCTAATGTTATAAATATCTTAGTGACCATTTTCAAGTTTCTCTAAGATTTGCTAAAGATAATTATTGTCATCAATATGCATATTTAATACTTGTTAACTCTCTGGAACTAATAAGGATTTTTACAAAATGAGAAGTCAACAAATAGCACATGAAACTGGACACCTTACACCACACATCCTTCTAGCCAAAGTGTCAAGTGGATTATCATCTTTATAAATGAAACACAGTTATAAACATGGATTAACAAAATCACGGTGAGCAAATGTAATGCTTTCAACTGTGTTTTTTAATAAAATTTTCTTCATTGTATTAACAAATTGTTATTAATCTGCATTCTGAACACAAGAAAGATGGATTATATAGAGAAACAGAAGACCAAAGCGGTAATAAATACTGTCTTTAAGGTACAAAACAGGTATTTGAGTGGATATTAGTAACTTATATTTATAGATGTATTAAAAGGAAAAAGAAAAAACTTGATGAAGTTATTGATATTAGTGTAGAGCCATGGCACCCTCAGAGTACTGCATTTAGGATTATAGTAAGTCTATTTCAGGTGACAGATATTGAAGTGAAATATAGAATACCCAAAAGAAAGATTCTGTAGTAATACACCATTAGAAAGTATTTATGCTTTTCATGAAGCACATGCAGTGAATTCAAAGAAATCAAGGTTTAATCAAAATAACTTTTAAAACATCAACATTTCCCCTCATGGTATAAGTGCCAAGGAATAACAGAATTGCCCGAATCATTATAAGAGAATGCTAAAGCATGAACATTTATTAATACTTTTTAAACTACCTATCAATAATAGACATGCTAAAAAAAAAATGCAGAATAAATGTTGAGAGAAAAACAGAAAATGGAAAAGCAAGTCAAATTTTCCTCACACACTGGACATATCCTATAAAAAGTGCTCTTATGCATAGTTCCAAATGAAGCTATCTCACAAAAGAAGCGCAATCATTGTTACCCATTATGTGCTGCATTATAGTTTTGTTATCACCAAGATTACATAAGGCCTGCATACCAAGTTCATCGTGCAAACTGCTGCCGCCTACAGCAGATGCATTGTCATGTGAGGCTTCTAAGTGGATACTCCCATTTCTCACCAGCAAGGACGCACTAGCACTGAGCACTGCAGCCTGGGAAGGGGGGCGGGACTGGACTTTGACCTGGGCTGTGGACTGCTGGCCTTGCTGACCATCTTGAAGGCTAGGAAAAAAGATGGATTGGGGAGACATTACAGGGAAGAAAAGAAAAAACAATAGCTAGAATGAAGTCAACATAGAAAACTATTTCGAAATGTAACCTGATTTTTTCAGTGTAACCTAAGAAAGAGCTAACAAACTTTGTAAAATATACAGATTATAATGGTGTCTTAAATCTTCTGGTCCTTAGAACATAGTGATGAACACAGCAAACGTTTAATGTATATCTAAGCTAATCAATCTGTGACTTTTTCCCACTGCAAGCCAACAAAATTCTAGTACAAGGACAAAGAAAGCAGCAAAGAAACACAAGCACATTAAATCTATGTGGGTTGTAGCTGGTTCCCAACAGATAAATCCTCTTGTTCAGTTTAAATATGCACTTTTATTTATAACCTTTATAATAATTCTAGAATTGTGCTTTCAAATATTCCGGCATCTCAAATTCACAAGAAAACAAAGTTTTTATGCACTTGAAAACCAAAGAAATCTTTATCAAATGCAACCAAGGTGACAATTTTGAATCAAAAGAAAATCACAAACTAGTGTAAGAGAAACAGAGTAACAAACACCAACTCAACCAAGTGAAATACAAATGATGCTGGGATGCTGGAAGTGTGATTAATTTATAAAGTTTTTTTTTTCTATGAAACGCCTACATATTTTTTAAAGAAGGCCACAGGCTCTATATACATGTTACTGCCTTCTCCAATCCATTTCATTGTTTCATTAACAAGGACCCATCATTTTAGAAAATCTTAAAAGTAATTTGGAAACCAGTAATTTCTCAAGGGATATTACAGTCTTTTTAAAATCTTACAGATTTTTAAAATACTTGGTATTTTATTAGAAGTTTGTCATTTATTAAATTTATAAAAATCACCTAAATATCTAAAAATCTATAATTAAGAAAGTATTATATTCTTAACTCATTTTATATTTTAGATGTTTATTTTAAAATACTATGAATTTTAATGTTCTTAGTATAAAACTCAAATTTAAAGTGATGAAACTCATGGAAATATTTTCAGTATAATTATTATATGTCATTCTCTACATGATACTCAAAGTAACTCTGGATTTTGTTATTAAATTAGACCTTTTAGGAAAAAAAAAAGAAAATGCTGCTTAAGATGGCCTCATTCAGTTATTTTATCATTTTCTTGAGTATCAACTTCTTTTTAATCTTTTGAATTCAATGCATTGGTTTCTGTGATGCCTATAAAACAAACTCATCTGCACAGACTATGAAAAGAGCTGTAATGTGAAGTAACCATGAATAAAAGACTACATAGAAAATATTGCTTATGTTGCTTAAGCTTTGTGGTTATAGCAACAGAATCCACTCTGGAATTACACTGTCTGATATGGTAACCACATGTGACCACCTCAACTTAAATTTTAGTTCCTCAGTCCCACTAAGCACATTGCAAGTGCTCAACAGCCACATAAAATAGCTAGCGGCTATCATAGCTAAAAGCTACCAGAGAGCAGCTAGTAACAAGTGCCCACCACATTGGACAGTGTGAATTAGATAGGTATTTCCACCACCACAGAACGTTCTATTACCATCACTACCTGGAACATTCACATTTCAGGCTTCTTTTAGAGCCAAAGAAAAGTATACACTCTAAGTAGAGCACGGGAATGTATAGAACACATGAAAAAAACCAAGTCCACACAATGTTGACTTGTCGATGCTTACTTGCATTATTTTTTTAAGTCATAACTATGAAAGTATTCACTTAATAACTTCTTTGGAGCAGAATCTCTGTACAATCAACATAAATCAAGGGATGATCTTGGGAACTAATATAATCAAATATGGCTGTATCTTCCATATATACATAGTAAGTCTGTTACTCTTCCTCAAAATCTATCTAAAGGTATTCACAAACCTTACAAAAATGACCAAATTTCACAAGGGGGAAAATTCTGAGAAATAAAATGTTTTAAGTAGTTCAAGTATTAGGTCCCTTCTGATTTGGAAGACATTAAGAATTTTATAAAATAAGTACTCAACAAATTTTTCTATCCTTTTTTGTTTTCACTTAAAGTCAAAAAGGTGCTATATGACAGTTAGATGTATTTTAATGTGAACACATTTGAGAATACAGTAATCCTCAACATATCCAAATATACAAAAAGGTTTTTAAAATATCAGGCAATGCATGGAAATCAATTCCAGAATAAGAGAAACCAAGGAAACATGTGAAAATCTATCTGGCCGTCAAGTTTTGAACATCAAAAGCTAGTCATAAATGTTATGTCCCTTCAATTCCTGTTTTCAGAATTCTTCAACAAAAAAGCCTGTCATTTCTACAGAAGTTGGTAGGAAAACTACTCCTGGTGGGTTGTACTTTACCTAACTAATAATTGACAGGAACTAATATTTTTTTAAAGTACCAATTATCTATCTATCAAAACTACCAGTTTGAGAAAAGGTAGAAACTATTTTACAACATAGCAAAAGGAAAGGTAGAAATTTAGGTCTAATTATTGGCTATCAATAGCATCACTGACATGCAATCTTACCAAGTAACATTTCCAATTTAAACAGCAGAAAAAAATAGCTGGTCTTGGTCTTTCCTTCCTCTGTACTACTTATTTAGTATTTGGCACACTCTGTCTTATATTGTTGTTTTTGTATGTGTCTCCACAACTAAGAAATAAACCCTAAGAGTATGATTGCATTATTCTTATGAATCTCCAGATTCCAGAGAACACTTAAAAGATTGTTTTAAACACAGTACACAAACAACAAATATTTGGTGGATTTATTCCTGAGCACCACAAAATGATCCCCATGAATTTCTAACCATGGACTGTTGTAACCACTATGACCTTATTTGATTACAGATCTTTCAATCTTATAATACTTAAAAAAATAAACATAGGAATACAATAAAGCTTTTTTCCCTTCCCCAAAATGTGCTAATTTCTTTTCATTCCAGTCCATTAACTACAGTACTAAAAGATATATCTGGGTTGATAAAACCAGATAAATATGGAACTCTTAAAATTTATGATTCACTCACAATCCTTGGAGACACATTTTATCAAGTTGCTTTTGATTGTCAAATACTTAAACTATTCATTAAAGTTTAAAATAAGTTAGTACATTTTACTGGTATTTACATAACTGTAATTAAATTATTATCACTCCTATTCCATTTCCTTTGGACAAATAAGTTTTTCAAGTTTTCCATGACCATGCCATCCATATTTAAAGATGAGATTATTATGTAACTCAAGCTGAGAATTTACTACCTGAATTTTTTTGCAATTAAAAAAAGATTTTATCAAATTGGTGTTTCTCTTAATTCCTCTAAGCTAAATTTTATCTTATTTCATCCATAATGAAGTCAGCCTATTTAAGATACATGCAAACTTTATACTGGAAATATCCTGGAACCATAATAAAATCTACATGCTGACTACTAGACTGCTTTAGAAAACTTCTAACGTGAACCCTTTACAAATAAGCTTCATACCATATCCTCAGTTGACTGGTGATATATTTAAAATCCTATAAAATTCTACATAATTGGCTAGAGTTAGAACATAGTTCTTTAATATTCCACCAGGCAAAGAAAAAAAGTAATTTGTCTGCATTTGTTTGGTGAGTGGGATCCAGCAGGCTCATTTGTGGCAAAGAATGAAAAGATTTGTAAAGACTAAAAGGAGAAAGTTAAAAAAAGGATTAAGAAATATCAATATGGAGTAAGAAAGCAAACATGGCTATGGCCAAGTATTATTCAAGGGGCAAAATGAAGCGGTTAGAAAAAAACAAAACAAAAAGTAAACTGAAATGCTGAGCTCTTTCTGCAGGTTGGGACTAGACCCCCCAATCCAGCTGCAGAAGGAAAAATTACTTCAAGGAGCAAAGGAAAAGAGGTGAAGGACATGTAGAGGAGGAGGGTTCACAAAAAGCAACAGTGCTCAGATATCTAGACCAGATGTTTTTCTAACTGGTGCCTTCCCATTTTTATATTTTAAATGTTGGTTTAACTAATCCACACTACTTTTTACAGAATTATGTATTACTGCAGGATTAATTAGGAACATGACCAACAAAAGATGAAGTTCCTGATTATAATGTAAAATGCAGAAAAGTAAGCAAGTCTTTAAATCCCAGGGGAATATAAAAGTAAACATTTTGTTACTCTCAAGAACAAGATTTTACCAAGGGAAGGGGTTTGGCTCTTCTAATCTATTGTGCATTCAACAGCAGTTATGTCATCAAATGCTCTTCCTTTTGAATTTCAAATTAAAATGTAGGAAAATAATTTGGTAATGGTGTTTTTCAACACAGAGATTAATAAAAGTATATGGTATAATATATGCACTGCTTAAGCAAGCACATGTAAAACATTTTGTCCGTATGTGTATTTGTAAAATAAAGGACAATCTTTTGTCTCATAAGACACACTTGAGAACACTAAAATTTTAATGGAAAACTATTCCCAATATTATAAATAGATGTTTTCTTAATTAGGAGTATTGGGAAAAGTAAAAATGTTTTTCTTCAGTGCTATATAGAAGTTGAGAAATTCAACATAGATATATGCAAATATATACATTTATACCCACTTGACCATACTTTACCATAAGTGGAATATTTTAGTTCCTTGTCATTTACCAGGTCCTAGTGATTATGAAATAAAGGACACCAATTTTTAAGCAATACAAAATACATATTTTAGTGAAATAAAATAATCAAGCTGGCTTATCAAGCTGAGGCCAGTTATCTGTGTTCCTCAACAAGCTCACTGCTCAATCCATATTTATTCCTATTAAATTGTCCAGACACTAGGGAAAAGATGCTGCATTAATATTAATTTGGAGTAGGAAAAAAAATGAAAAGCTGACTTAAGGCCTCTAAAGTAATTCTGCTATTTAAAATCGGCTAAACCAATATGATCATTTTGTTGGAATAGTGCAACATAAGGCATGCATAATGCAACAGGCTCATGGTGACATGCAGAGAAAGCTCCAAGAACTTAGAACTACAGGAGAGAAACCGGAGGGAAGAGAACAAGCTATCTGAATGCTTTCTTGGGACTGACAGAACAGGTCAGAAGGTGTGTTACATGCATGCTAAGCTTGGTGGAATTTTAAAATACCATACCTTAGGGGTGATCCGATGAGCAATGCGGGAGGGGTAGGGTTACTCCCTGCATTGTGCCGGCGCCGCACTGCCTGGCGCCTAAATGTGCTGCGTTCACGGCGGAATGACACTGTCTCCTCGCTGGCCTGCGCCGCTGCATCAAGACAGACTTAGGTCAAATCAGAGCCTAGGTCACAGATGGAAACAGCAGCGGAGCCTGCCTCTCCCCTGACTTCCCACCCTCAAAGGTAAAGGGAACTCGTCTAGTTGAGCCAGAGTTTCCACACAGATGCTGTTCATCTATTGTATAAAGGAATACACAAAACGTACGTGTCACTTATTTAAAGAGATTTGTTTCTTTAAAAATGCTTTTACTATATCTGGCCTCACTATCTACTCTTCAATCTCAATTCCCTATTTTAATATCTCTGTTGCTTCAAATCTTTTTCTAAAAGCCTCAATTTAGTCCCATAATCCTATATTCCCCACCTTTAAGTCAACCCAAATGTACAGTATTTGTTAGTTCCAACTGACAGGAATGGGGCATTACTTTCTCACTTTCAAGAGGACAGTACAAGCAAGCAATAATAATCCTTCCTTTTTGATGCTGAGGAGTAAGGCGGTCCTTTATCCCACACTGCCGTATGCCACAACTTTGGCAGCTTTTTAAATGTTTAATTCAAGACAGCATGGATATATCTTAACAGTAAGGTAGTCTGCTCCCATCAAACTGTCGTCACCTCTAAGCCCCAGCACAGGTCCCCTCAACATTAGGAAGTATCAGCAAGATGACAAGTACAGAAGCCCACAGTTTAATCCAAAAGCAATAAAGTAACTAAAACCAAATATACAACAATGACAGAATCACAATGGCTTATTAGAATTATGTAAAATTTTATAAAACCATTCTAATGGACTGATTTCAGTTTCTAAAACAAAATGCAAAATGATGCTTATTATCCTGAATTTAAAACAACTGTTTCCTAGTGATCTAAATATTCTAGGAATGATCTTGACTATGACAAAGGGTATTTTCATACCAAATATGAATAAAGACAAAACAACTTAGTATAACAGCATTCTTTCCAAACACTTTTTTTCTATTCAGTATAAAAAGGATTACAAATCCAAGAATGTTGTATTCAGATTTCAGTTCTGTTGCAAACTTTCTGGACATTTTAAAAGCATAGTTACTAATTCTCAAATCATTCTGCTTAGCAATATACATTTCCACCAATGTGAATATTGACTTTAATAAACAAAGTACGCTTTTTAATATTTACATTTTTTATCCCTTCCCCAGACTGCACCAGTGAACATTCTTTATGTAATGAATCTATTATGATTAGGAATGTACGCACTACCTCCAGAAGGCATAGTGTTTCTGTGTAGGCACTGTTTTCTTTTACTGCAGGAATGACAAGCACAGTTATTGCACCCATTCGGCAAGCTTCTGCCAGTAAGTAGTAGAAGTCACAAATTACAGGACACTTACTTACATATTTTATTTTTCAGCTCATACACTACAGTGACATTCTAAAGTTAGGCAACTAAATAAGAATTAGGCTTTGGGGCTTTGGCTCCAAATCGGACTTGACCCAGTGAGCTAGTATTTCTTTCCTTTTCTTTTTTTTTTCTCTCCAGTTTTACTGAGATATAATGAAAATTCCTTTAAATGTGAAAAAGGTTACTTGTGAGAGCTCACACATGCAAAAATTATATATGACCTGTGAGAACAAATGATCATTAGACCTGGTCATCTAGAACTGTGATGTCCAACATGGTAGCCACTAGCCATATGTGGCTATTTAAACTTAAATTAATTAAAATTAAATTAAATTAAAAATTCAGTTTATCAGATTCATGAACCACACGCAAGTGCTAAGTACCTGCCTAGTGGCTACCATTACTGGGGCAATACAAATAGAGAATATTTCCAACATCACAGTTAGCTGTATTGGACAGTGCTGATCTAGAAATTCAAGGACGCCTTCCCGTCACCACAATCTACAAAGCATATTGTGTGCTTAGCCTACTCTTGACAACTGTGACCTCAATAAAAGGAAACTGCAACCAGCACCGTCACAAAGGAGAAAACATACTAGCAGGGCAGTCATTGGATAAAGGATAAAACAAAGCACACAAGCTACTTGCAGGAAGACATGCAAACTTAGATAAGTGACTGGTATTCCTATTAATGGCTCTTAGACATCAGCAAGGTTAACTCAGGTTATGGAATTTAAAATTACTCTTTCAAAACTCAAGACATTTTGTGACCTTATACTGAAGATTTCTATTCTAGTGTAACAAACTACTGCTCAATTTATAGGTCCATTAACTTCATTAAGGAACTTATACACATTCTCTCTAGTTTTAGATACCTAGTTTAGATAATTTTATTATCTAAGATATAATTTATGAAGAATAATTTAATCCATGAAATGTACTAAAATTACTCTGAAGGACATACTTACAATCATTGAATACTATGAATAAAAGAAGGGAAATAGGAAACCGTTTTCTTTACTATCTTCTTTCTATTGAAGACTTAATGGTGTGAATTTTAAGTAAAAGCCAGTTATTCCATAATACCAAGATGAAAACACAAACTACAGTGTCCATTTATAGTCAAAATGTTCCTTGGCTTCTTCACAAAACAGTTTTTTTTTTTTTTTGCTACTATCACACCATTTATATTTTGTCATCTGCAAAAGAACTACATAATACTACTTACTCTCTTAACCAAATAGTTTTGGAAACACTTCAAGATGAAAGTTCAGACATCTACTGAACAATGTATTAAGATGGAGTTATGATTATTGCCTATGCTGTCCTTGTAATATTTAGGGTATAAATATCAAATGCTAAAAGAATTTTCAATGTTTACTATAACAACTACTTTAACAGCAGCTAGGATCACACATTCAACTGAAAACACTATGCCATAGTTTATGGTCACAACAAATAAGACTAAGCCATGCCCCCTGAGGAATGTACTACTTATACTGAACATCTCTATTTAGAATAGGATCCAGAAGGGGTCCAGTTCTACTAGTGCCAAGGAAAGAAAAGTGTCTTTACAGCTTAAAATATATTTGCTCTAAGCATATTCTTAAAAATAATTTCCTGTAAGAAAAGTGTCTTTAAAGCTTAAAATAATTTGCTGTAAGCACAGTCACATAAGTTAAAGTCACTTGATGAAAATTCACTTCTACAACCCAATTTAACAAACTCTTTTTGAATCCTTTAAATTTATAAGAGAAAGAAAAAGCACCTTCGAACTAGGGAACCAGACAGGAGGGATAAAACACATTAAAACTTGGTTCTGAAGTTGACATTTTGACATTGCTTAAAGCCTAGTACCTCCTGGCAAAATAATGAAATTAACTAGAATAATAAGAGCATGAAATACAAATAGTGAAAATTTAACACTCTGGGTACACCTAAATTTAAAACGTGTAGGTAAAGGAGAAAAAAGAAACACAAACATTTATTTAACTGATTAAAAAACCATAAATAACAAGACAGCTTTAAAAAGACTTTCAAGGACATATATTTAGACAATTGCGAGTCTTTTAACGTATACTTTTAAAATCACAAATCATTTCTTTGTGTTAGAAAACTTCAAGAAACTGAATTACAAGCACAACAAGTTTAAGAGAGAACCTTGGATCATTTAGCTCTTTACTTTTGAGGAAGTAAAATAATCATTTGATTAAGTTTAAACATTTACTGGGGGCCTAAGGGCTATTCATGCACAAGGCAAAGGGATCCTAAGATCTTTTAGACAGTTGTGTGATCTGATCTATTCCTAAAGATCAAATAAAAAACACAATACATACCTCCCACTTCAGGAGTTCCTTCCCATTTACCTAAATGAGTTAAGGACAATTCCCTAAATTCTGTATTGAATTGTTTTAGTGCAACTATTTATTTTTATACTGGGGATACTGAAACAATAGACTATCAGTTTGTTTTACCCTGTGAATGAAAACAGGAAAAGTATTAAAGGCAACAAGTACTTTCAGGATGGCGGGGAGGTACAAAAGAGCAAAATGTTGGGAGGTAGGAGGTGAGGGTTATCCATATTCTATCTCAAACACTGGAAAGTTGTAAGCATAAGTATGTACAGAAAAAGACACTACTTGAAAACATGTCAATCATATAGCTGTGCAAGGGTTCAAATGTAGTACGTTCTGTCTAGTTGCTGTATATACAGTCATGTCTGGCCTCTTATGATAGCTGAGTTGCTATTAAATGAATACAAATTTAGACAAAACTACTCAAGAAAGGTGTTATTTTCAGTGGGGAGTGTTTATTATAGGAAAAAGTAAATTTGGGACAATTGTGAAAATAAAGTTAGATTTTGGTACCTCAAACAGATTAGAAGCAAAATGGTATTAGGAAATGAGACTTTGGGGGAGGAGCAAGATGGCGGAGGAGTAGGAGACCTAAATTTCGTCCGGTCCCAGGCATTCAGCTAGATAGGGATCAAACCAGTCTGCACACCTACAAACTCAACAGGAGATCGAAGAAAAGGAAATGAGAATTTAAAGAGAGACAAAAATATAAACAAGTATATATACATCTTGGAAAAATAAAATATATACGCAGACATCCTGAAACACACTGAAATATTCTTTAAGATAAAACTATTTTACTTAAGAATATAAAGTTACTACATGAAGAAATACACATTCAAATGACTACAAAAAAAATTTTTCAAAAAAATAGTTTAAGTCTAGGCATGAAACCCGTTTGATCTAAACATCTTTTCCCCTTCTTACTTTCCATGTCAGCCAAGGATGATGCTAACACCAGCATGCCAAGATTTTGTTCTAAAATAAAAACAAATATTCATCAGTGTCATTTTCTGGGAGGCTAAAGAACACTGAGAATCTACTGCACAACCTCGAAGCATTCATTCCGAATTAAAACAATTTCAAACTGCAAACACATTTTAAAGGACTACTTTACTTTTTGACAAGTAAGCCAACAAACAGCAACCAACGACAAAGGATTAGCTGAGTCAGAGAGATTTGCATGTCCTATTGATATCTTCCACAATCCCAGGCAGCCAACAAATATAGGTGGGTAGACAAAATGCTTTCAAGAAAACAAACCATACTCTGGAGTCGTGATACACACACAACAGTTCCTAAAAGCCACAGTTTCAGGATCACTTACCTTCAGAGGTGACTCCTAATGTTTTTTAATCCTTTGTAAATGGGATGAAAGATATAGACCCTCTCCCAGAAAACTGCACTCAACCTATTTTGCATATATTTTCAGAGATGCACCTAAGAAGGGGTCATTAGTGAAGAATATATATTTGAAGTGACATCTATTTGAAGAGGGAAATTTCCTTAACAAATGATTAAAAGGCATCAGTGTCTTAGTTTTCATAATAAACCTACCATTTACAGAGCACTTTTACAAATCTAAGTTCACGAGAGTCTGACAGTTACGGTGACACAGACCTAGACAGTTATTATTCCTGTTTTACAACTGAGGAAACTGAGGCACAGATTTACTGACTTGCCTAGAGTATCCAGTTAGTAATTAGAGATGGGATTAAAATGTAACTGTTTGATTCCTTATCCAGAACTTTTCTGCTACTAGAAAGAAAAATACCGTACTAGAAAGAAAAATACCATAACGTCTGCTCCTACTATACTTAATCAGGCATGAGCTGGATTGGGGAATTCTATACACTAACCCTTATTTGCCTCATCAATAAAATACCTTTTCTTGGGGCGCTTGGGTGGCTCAGTCGTTGAGCGTCTGCCTTCAGCTCAGGTCATGATCCCAGGGTCCTGGGATCGAGCCCCGCATCGGGCTCCCTGCTTGGCGAGAGGCCTGCTTCTCCCTCTCCCACTCCCCCTGCTGTGTTCCTGCTCTTGCTATCTCTGTCAAATAAATAAATAAAATCTTAAAAAAAAAAATACCTTTTCTTCATACCATTTAAGAGAAGGTAATATTTCCAAGTAAATGAAGCATCCCAGTCTGTTTACTACACTGAATGAGCATCCTTCTCTGTTTTATATGCCTAAGCTTTCTTCTCCATATAGATTAATATAACCTTTTCCCTGAATCAGGGTCAGTTGCATATACATTTATTACTGCATTGTACTACAATACAGCATTCAGTTATGATCCCACAATGTCCTTTGAACACTATCAAATTAAAAAGACAATTTGCCCCTGCATTTAATGACCCACCCTGTTCGTGTGGTCAGTCCAGCTTCTCCTTTCATATTAACAACACATTTCTGCTGCTGTCATTACTTCAGCCTTTCCAAGCACCAATCCCCTTCTACTCATTTGCTGCTTCTAACTTGCCACGTGGACTGAGGGATCAGAAAATTAATGTATTAGAATTTAGAGTCCCTCTATTTAGGAAAGTACAAAAGCTTTAATTCTCACGTTCTTGTCTATTCAGTGGTCTTTCTAAGGTTCAATGATATCTGCATTCAGATAACTGACCTTCAATTTACACACATGGCACAAACCCTCATAAATTTGAGATTTGGTTTTTCTTTGAATAAAGTAATATTCCAACCAAAGATTATCTTTGGTTCCCAACACAAAAATAATAATAGAATCCTATGACATGCTTACAGAATAGGGACCCAAACATTACATTTAAAATAATTTTCTCAAACAGAAAAACAGAGGTTAAGAAATTCAGAAAAAAATTACAAAGAATAAATATAAACCTTTCCATTCTGGTTGTTCTTTATAATCTCTTGAAACATGCGGTAAATTAAGGGATGCAAAAGAAAATGGTTTTTTAAAAGTAGTATAGGCTACAAAACATGACATTTTTCTACCATACAGAACTTATCTGTATTTTTTCCTTTAAATATCAGCCATCAATTATTAAAGACATGCTTTATAATTATAAAAGAAAAATTAAATGCAAAAGAGATCAACAGAAAATGCCTTAGTTTACATCTAAAACTTTTTTCCTAACTAAACAGGAAAACTGATGAAATCCAATTTTAACTGAAGTACTTGATTATTGGTGAGAACTCCTATGAAAACAATCACATGTGACTGAGTATCAAAAGGTAAGTTATAGGGCATACTGTTGCCAAAATAAGATTAAAATCCATATTACTCGATTAGATATTGTTTTTCTGTTGGTATTATGTAAGAAATCTGGAATACCGATATTTGTATTTTTACTATTGTCGAGTTTCACAACGGCCTGATTAGAAATATCTAATATACTTCTAAATTTAATTATTTTCTTCCACTTGAAGGACAGCATACACCTGAGTAGTGTAAGAGACTGGTCTGTATAACAGAAATACTAGCACTATTAAGCATTTCCTACGTGCCAGGCATTTTACATCTGGAGATTCCTTCCATCCTCACAGCAACCCTGTGAGATGAGAAGGCTGAGGCTTCAAGAAGATAAGCAGCTTTCCTACAGCGGAGCCCGTAAACACGGACAAGGGTGTCCGAGGTCATGTCATCATGCTAGATCACCTCCTGTTTTAGAGTATTTGATTTTAGTACTTTAGAGTACATTTTCTGGATTTCGTCCTTCCACACTGCCAATACCGTTCAGCTTAAAAATAGAACAAAATCACTGGAGAACTCATCAATACCTCCAAGTTCATTAGAATAAAATCAATTTATGGTTTATGTATGGCCATATGAATGGTGAAACAGTATCCTGTTTTGTTGACAGTATGCTATGTAGGTATCTCCTAAAGTGCCAGAAAGGACTGTAGCAATTAATGCTAATATAAGCAAATCTTTACCAATTATTTGACATTTTATATACTTTTTAATACCCCCTCACTACCTCCAATCTTCCAAAAAGCCCAAACAAAACCCTAATAAAATGTAATAAAAACCAACTAAATATAAATCCTCCACATATTTAAGCAGTTTAGTTTTACTCTTATTTCATTCTAAACACAAATGAAACTCAAAATAAAAACAGCCCCTACAATGTTCTTCCTTTGGCAAAAAAAAATTTTTTTTACCAGCCCACAGACTATCACGTTTATTCCATCAAAGTATGTGGAAATTTTTAGTTCATTATCTGTTTCTTATTAACATTCAATGAGTTGTTTGTTTTTTAAAAATAAGAACACAAACAAAAGAAGACAAAACCTGGAATCTGGAAAAACAAGGGCTTGTGTTAGTCAAAGATCTGCACCAAGAAGCAAATAAAACCTTCCATGTAACTTTTCCTAAAAATCAGATCACCTCATATTCCCTGTGGAAAGGAAATGACATTTTAAATACAAAGACATAAGGACTTACTATAGCTCTTGTCCATATTTTTTTAGTATTTAAATTTCCATAGTATTTAGAACAGCAGTATTTTTCTACCATAGCATGTTAATTCTTACAATTTATTTTAATGACACCTTGAAAAATTAAACTATATTTTAAAACCCAATGGTTTCTTACATGTCGTGAACATTTCTGGTATGATTTGTGTGAGAAATCACTAAAAGCATTTCAAGACTTTTTATAAAAAACAGAATGATCGCCACATCAAAGATTCAAGGGAACGTAATTACTACATTGTCACCAAATGGTTATAATCACTTCAGATATAATTAGTTCTCAATATTTAAGTTTGATAGAATGTTTTCTTCTTTAGGTACTAAAGATCATTTTTTTTACATTCCCATCAGAAATTAATCTTTATTAGAAACGATACCAAAGGAAACGAGAATGTTTACAAGACATAAGCTTGAACACAGGGAACGGGGGTGGAGGAGAAGAAAGCTAGGAAGCCAGCAAGGGAAGGCGTGGAAGTTCTTCTGAGCCTACTCAAGAACCAGGTTCCGTAATAACCACGACAGAATGAACTCACTATTCTGGGCAGGAGGAAACAGCAAGAAACCATTCTGAAATAAACAAAATGGCCAAAACACACTGACAATATAAAATCAGCCACTGAATTTTGCACCATTTCCCATAAACCTCAATTAAATAAGCTATTACTTTAACCAAAACACCATCACTGTTATCACAGGGAGCATCATGTATCCACGGATGGATACTAAATGCCATTATAAACTACAAACATCAATTTAATAAACTTTGAGTGTGACGCTAAAAGAAAAAATGTTAACGCCTGATAGTTGAGTAAGCAAGAAATAAAACCGAAGAGACAGATAAAAAAGAGGCACAACCTTTCAAAGTACATAGCGAGAGATAAAGTAATATTTCAAAAAATCTTATATTAACTGATTGAGTGATCTAATTCTGAAGGCTCAGTGGTACACACTGTATGCGAGATGACTAAAAATGGTTTGTGACCTAATAAATGTCTACCTTTTGTTGTCGCTACTGTTTTACAAAGAAAGAAGAGAACCAACTTTTGTTATTCTCGGTAAAACATTAGGAGATGGCAATTGACTTAGAAAAACCCAAGGCCAAGAAAGAATTGATATATTCAAATAACACAATTGAAAAAATATTTTCTCAGTGTTCATACCAAAACCTTTTCTGAGACAACCATCTCTTTCTACGTGGAAGAAAGTTTATTTTAATAACATAGTGGAAGGAGGGATAGTAACACAAAGCATATTTTAGTAAGTACTACTCTAATCAGTAGTATCAACAATTGCAGTGACTCTTGGAGAAATCTCTTCCTGTAATTTACTTACCTCCACTGCCTGCATCTTGCTCTTCGCCTTCAGGAAATGCAACCTGGCTTGGCAAGCTATTCCTTGACCGAGTGACTGTCTCTAACTGGGAAGCCCGGCCCAATAAAGATAGCTCATCTAGCACCTCTCCCTCTTTGGCCTCAAGATCTGATTTTGAAGTGGTTAAGGGTTTTATACTTTCGGGTGCCATCAGCCTATTGGAGTCATTCAAACACGCTACCGTGCCACTGTCCAGGCTCAACACCCGGGCCCGGGTCTTGGCACTGTTTGTGCTGGAAGTCCGACGTGCTGTCCGCTTTTTGCCCGTTCCTTCAGGACCCAGATGGGCTTTGTGTGCATGCTCAGAGTCAGTGCCCCTTTCTTTAGGGACGTGTTTGGCCTTGAGGGCACTGTATCTGCCCTCAGGAGACTGGCATGAATGAGAGGTGGTGCTAGAAGAGCTATCACTGCTGAACTGGTGGGCGGACTGAACACTTGATGCTCTGCTCAAGTCACTTTGGTCGCTAGAGTCCTCATCGTGACAGAATATAGCACTATGTGGCTTTGTACCAGCAACACCTCGAAAAGAAACATAGTCCCTATGCCGACTTGAATCAAAACTGCTGGCCCGTTTTTTTCCTGTCCGTCTCCGGCCTGATTTATGGGCAGAGGCTGTCCGGTGGATCAAGCTAGACGATTTAGGTCGTACATCCCCTTCCTTTTGCTTTCCACCACTGTCTTTAGCAACTTTTGAGTCCACTGAAACAGCGGACTTATCACTCTGCTCCTCTTTGTTTTCGGCAGTTTTCTCGAGTGGTCTGTCCCCCTGTGACGTAAATTCATTTGCATGGGGATTTTTATTGGCTTCTTCAGATGCAGAGGTGCTGAGATCTCTCTGATTGTGCATATCATCGGAGGTATTGGAATCCTTGGCCTCTTGAACCCCACTGTTGGTACTTCCTTCCAAGGCAGTCTTTTCACTGCTAGTCCTTTTGTCAGTGGTACAGCTGCTCTTGCCCTCTGGGTCAGCACAGCCCTCTTTCTTCCTACCACTTTTCTTTCCTACTCTAGGAGACTCCTCATGCTCTGACAAGATGCTCTCTATGTGAGTTGAGCTGGTCTGCTCACTTTTGTAGCTACTGACAGTACTGTTGGTGTCCCGGTCCGTTCCACTGCAATAGCTCTCTGTCGACCCACTACTCCGTGTGCTCAGGCTCCTCAGGCTATCCATGCTTTTGTCTGCTTTCAAAGGTTTGCTCTTCCCACTTTTTGTAGGTGGCTGAGAACTACTGTTTTTCAGCTCACCAACAAGCTGAAATTCTCCAGACAAACAAGAATTTTCCACCAAGGATTCTTTGGATCCAGAATGAGGCTTAGAAGATTCTAACTCACTAACTGGATCTAAGCCCCGTCTTTGCTGATAGAGAGGGAAGTCATTCAGTGAAGTGTCTGGAAAAGCCACAGCAGAGCTAGAAGTCCGTGGTACACCTCGTGGCCGGTGATCTTTCCTGTAAGAGTGTGAATGTAAAGGGACAAGAGAAGCTACTTCTGTGTCACAGGCGTTGGACAGAGACTGATCAATGTGGTGGTGGTGGCTGTGACTTGGCAAGCTCACTTTGTCACTGAAGTCCCTTGGTAAGTCCTGTCCACAGGAAGATAAGGAAGGCTGAATGGAGATGAAGGAATCATTGGAGACTAGACGGAAGAGCTTCCGATCAGTTGCCAGATCTGTTTCAAACACATATTTGGAAATGTTAACACAAATCTATCATCTGCTTTTCTACTGTTTAACAATGGAAAGAACTCACAGCATTCGGTAAATCAAGGAAAAGCAATTTCCCAAGTAGTTCACTGAATAAAAGTTGGCCAGTCATTCCAAAGAGCGAGTTTCTATTTCACAGCTGCACAAAGAAAGCATTCTATTGACAGAATGAACTAAACTTCTAAATCCTTGAATGACCACAGAAAAGGTTCCATAGACTATCAACAATAAGAGGCAACATAGGATTATATTTAAAACAGCCCTGGATTTTTTCTTTCTTAAAGATTTTATTTGAAGTAATCTCTACACCCAACGTGGGGTCTGGACTTACAATGCCAAGATCAAGAGTCGCATGCTCCACCAATTGAGCCAGCCCCATGCCCCATAAAGCGGCCCTGGATTTTTATGTGAAGTCTGTCTCTAACTTACTAACTGCATAGCCCTGGGTTACCTTTGCAAGCCTCAGTTTCCTTATCTATAAAATAGGATCCCAGTATCACTAAGTAGTACCATGAAAAAACTGAGTTAGTGTGCTTTAGCATATACATTGCTTAGCACAATGCCTGACATGATTAACAGTAGCTATCATTGTTTTACTTCACTAACACAATACAAAAACTTTTTTGAAAACTAATGTGATTATCTTACAAATAAAAAAAAACAAACAAACCCTAGAGTAATTTGAAACAGGAAAAAAAAAAATTTGAAAGGCTGAACAATCCCCAAAGAAGACATGATATAATGATTGTAAGATCTTGCTGTTCACAGTGACCGAAAAGATTAAAATAGTTGTGGAGCAAAATACTGCATTTTCTCTTTCATCATTCATGCAACAGGTACAAACTACCTCACGAAAATATACATTATCCCTGTATATCTATAAGACCATTCCTTTACCCCTCCACTTAGGGCAGTGATTAGTGACTTGAATTACCATATGTACTATGTATACAGATATAAATAAATCCACCTACCTATCTACATTGTAATTTATCTTGAAATATACCTTTGCAACTGAACTGTACAACAGCTGACTTTTTATATACTTTTTGACAGACAGGGATGGCTGAATCCACTGTTAGTTCAATAAAAAGAAAAATGACTATTTTATTTGTTATAACTGCAATACTAAAAAATACAGTGATAGATTCTGCAGTTAAGTCAGATCTCCCCAGGAGAATCTCAATAATAAAAGCATAACTTTCCCCCTAAGATTAATATAAAATAAAAATGAATCACTAGAAATGTGCATGTACTTTTAAAAAAATCTAGACTAGATTTAAATTATTAAAAACTTAGAAACAGCCTCTAGAATATACCATATAAATTGATTTATAAATGACCTATCAGGCTCTATCTTATGTTTTAAAGTCTTCAACATAAGTAAAATTCATGTTCTTTATCATTTGTCCAAAACAGCTGCCACTGTACTTGGGTTCTTAGATCTCTAAATACCAAAATTTAAAAGTTAGCACTATACTTACTCTTTTGTAATATTAAATTATATAAATATTAAATTTAACAGTTATTTATAAAAACTCTCTATATATCTCTTAATAAGCAATTAGAAATAGTGTGATAGGGGCGCCTGGGTGGCTCAGATGGTTAAGCATCTGCCTTCGGCTCAGGTCGTGATCCCAGGGTCCAGGGATTGAGCCCCACATTGGGTTCCTGGCTCAGCGGGGAGCCTGCTTCTCCCTCTCCCTCTGTCTCTCCCCCTGCTCATGCTCTCTCTCTCTCTGTGTCTCAAATGAATAAAATCTTAAAAAAAAAAAGTGTGATATTCACATTTCAAAGTTATGAACTTTATAGAACAAAAACTTAACTGAACAAGTAACTGAAAATCACTAATTCTAATATACAAGACTTTTTTAAAAATGCTAATAATCAAAACCAATTCCAAGACATCAATAAACCAGAAATATAAGTTGTTCATTTAAAAAGACACAGCCAGGGCGCCTGGGTGGCTCAGTTGGTTAAGCGACTGCCTTCAGCTCGGGTCGTGATCCTGGAGTCCCGGGATCGAGTCCCACATCGGGCTCCCTGCTCAGCAGGGAGTCTGCTTCTCCCTCTGACCCTCTTCCCTCTCATGCTCTCTATCTCTCGTTCTCTCTCTCTCAAATAAATAAATAAAATCTTTAAAAAAAAATAAAATAAAAATAAAATAAAATAAAATAAAAAGACACAGCCAAACTTACTTTAATACATGTACTTTTTTCAATGTTGCTAACTATACCATAAAAAAATAAAATCTTATCAGGAAGAACCTTAGGTGATTTTAGGAAATTTTCAAGTAAATATGCTTGCTTAGACATTTTTCTTACTGGTAGCAATACAGTCAAAGATAGGCTCAAATCAACACAAAGAGATACTATTTTTCATAAGTAAACTTTTTTTCAAAGACTGCTACCAGTGGCATTTAGGATAAGAAAGGCACGCTCACATACTGCTCATCCTGGTGCAAAGTGGTGTAACCACAATCTAGCAATATGGCCAAAAGACTTCCAAAAATATACTCACCCATGATCAGTAATCTATTTCTAGAAGTTGCTGCTAAAGGATAAATTCAGGTATGTATATAAGGTTTTAGCAAAAAAATGTTCATTTCAGGTTATTATAAAACTCAAAACCTAAAAAGTATGAAAATGTCCAATAAAAAAAGGTTGACTAAATCAGATTGTCTATTAAAACATCACGCAGACACTAAAAATGTTTTCAAAAATCACATATTAATATGAGAAAAAAATACTTAAGTGAAAATGATGGTACTATATAAAAATTACGGTTCCAATCTGTAAGAGTTAAAAAAATATTAAGAGTGTATTTGCAGGGACGCCTGGGTGGCTCAGTTGGTTAAGCAGCTGCCTTCAGCTCAGGTGACGATCCCAGGGTCCTGGGATCAAGTCCCACATTGAGCTCCCTGCTCAGCGGGAAGCCTGCTTCTCTCTCTCCCTCTGCCTGCAGCTCCCCCTGCTTGTGCTCTCTCTCTATCTCTCTCTGTCAAATAAATAAATAAAATCTTATAAAAAAGGAAGAGTGAATATTATAGTATATGAATTATATCACAATACAAAAATAATTTTAAAAAAAGTGATGTACCAAAAACATCGTTATTTCAGTGCCAAAAGTGTGAATTATTTTCTTCATATTAACTATTTTTTTCTAAAATTAACATATGTTACTTTCATAAACAAAAACCACATTTCCTCCTGTCTTCTGGATCATCTCCATCAATTATTTAAAAAAAAAAGCTGTTCTCTTACGCATTCCTATAAAATCCCAAACTCTCCTTTATCCTCCCTTCCCCTGTTGGCTTTCACCTTGCATCTCTGATCCCCTTTACGCAAATTCACCAAGAATAGTCTGTATTCCCTCTTTTCAGCTCCTCCTCTAATTCTCTCCTACAAGTATTGTGATCCCCCTCATGAATATGCTTATCAAGGTCATCAACAACCTGTGCTGCTAATCCCGTGGCAAGTCTCAGTCTCCTATATCACCTGGCCTACGAGCAGTGTTTGACAAAGCTGAGCACTGCACTCTCCTTGAGAAACTGGGATACAACACTCTAAGTCTTCCTGCACCCCACCAGTTGTTCCTACTCCGTCTCCTGCACCTATTAAACTGGAGTGGCTCAAAGCTCAATCCTGGGAACTTCTCCGTTTTCCATCTACACACCCTCATTTCCATCTCTCATCCAGTATTCTGGTCCCACGATAACTAAAATTCAGGAATCCTTATAACTAGGTTCCTCCATCTTCTTGCCAGCCCCCACACTCATATGGGAATAGGCTAAAGAACCGATCTTGGGTAGGGAAAACATGACTGCGGCTGGAGAGGGCAACTGTAGATAATCCCTTCTTAAAAGTGAAAAAGAGCCCACGTCTCCACATCCTCAGGTCACTCTCAATCATGCTGAATCACGTTAATAAAATGAGTCCAACTAATCACTAACTGCCAACCAACTAAACGTTGCTGTCCTGTAAACCCAAACTAGCTAGAGAACCCAATGAGCCCCAATTGATAATTAAGCCAGAATGAACATCTGCCACTAGGTGGTGCCAAATCATAGCCACGACCAACAAACTTGGATCAGGACAGCCAGGACACCTGAACTCCAGGCTAGGCTAACCACGCAAGCTTGCCCAGTTAATTTAGGAACTTCATGATAACCAACCCACAGTTGACATGACTGAATTTTTCTGGTATTTATACACTGAAAACTCCTAAATTTAAAACCTCAGCACAGACTTCTTACCTGAAATCCAGACCCGCCTAATTACCCACTATTTATTGCCACTTAGAGACCCAACAGCATCTCATACTGATATGCCCAAAACTGAACTCCCTATCTTGCCTTCGTCCCTGCTCTTCTGGCTCCTAAACCTGCTCCTTCTCAGTCATCCCCCTTCCCATCCTCCCCATCACTTAACGCAAAAACCTTTCAGTCATCCCTGAGTACTATTTCTCTCACATAATATATCCAAATCCATCAACATCAACATCGCCTCTCATTAATATCTTCTACACGCACAGTCTGACTACTTGTCAATGCCCTAATCTGTGTTCTGGATTACTGCAATCATCTGCACACTGAGCTTCCTGCTTCGGCCTTTGCTCCTTTTAATCTAAACAGAGGAGCCACAGTGGTTCTATACAACTGTAACTGAGATCCTGACTCTTTTCTGCTCAAAACCCTTTAGCAGTTCCTCACCTCACTGAGAATTAAAACCACAATCTTTAGGGTTTTTTAAAAGATTCTATTTATTTTTTGAGAGGGAGCACACGTGCGTGAGAGAGAGCACGAGGGGGGGGTGAGAGGGAGAGGAGGGGCGGACAGAGGGAGAGGGAGAAGCAGTCTCCCAGGACCCCAAGATCATGACCTGAGCCGAAGGCAGACGCCCAACCAACTGAGCCACCCAGGCACCCAAAACCACAATCTCTAAAATGGTTTACAAGACTATACAATTTGTCCCCTCACTTCCTTCACATCAACCACACTATTTCTCAAACCTGACAGGTATGCTGTTACTTTAAGATTTTTGCTAATGCTGTTAGAGAGCCCCTTCCCCTGAATATCCTGAGAGCTCACTCATTCCCCTCCTTCAGGTCTTTGCTTTCAGCAAGGCTTTCTTCCATTGTCCACTCCATTTAAACTTAAATCCCCCCAGGCCCCACCATTCCTTATCATCTGTCCCTACTACTGCATATTTATTTGATTTATACTAGTGTGATTCCATACTCATACTATGGAAGCCACATAAGGGTAGAATTTTTTGTCTGTTTGTTCACTAATTTATTTCCAGTACTTAGAATGGTGCTCAGAGCACATAATAAGTGCTACATAATATCTGTTAAATGTTATCTATGTGTGTTATTTGTTAAATGTTACATTAAAATGATAGAAGTTACAAAACTACCTAAAAGTGGTGTAGGGGCGCCTGGGTGGCTCAGTCGTTAAGCATCTGCCTTCGGCTCAGGTCATGATCCCAGAGTCCTGGGATCGAGCCCCACGCCCCACATCAGGCTCCCTGCTCGGCGGGAAGCCTGCTTCTCCCTCTCCCACTCCCCACTGCTTGTGTTCCCTCTCTCGCTGTGTCTTTCTCTCTCTCTGTCAAATAAATAAATAAAATATTTAAAAGTGGTGTAGGGTGCCTGGGTGGCTCAGTCATTAAGCGTCTGCCTTCAGCTCAGGTCATGATCCCAGGGTCCTGGGATCGAGCCCCGCATCAGGCTCCCTGCTCAGCGGGGAGCCTGCTTCTCCCTCTCTCTCTGCCCCTGCTTGTGTTCCCTCTCTCGATGTCTCTCTCTCTCTTTCTCTCTCTCTCTCTGTCAAATAAATAAATAAATTATTTAAAAAAATAAAAATAAAAGTAAAAGTGGTGTAACTGCATAGCAATTAAAAGCATGATTCAAAACTAGATTTCAATTACAGAACTGCCACTTTGTAGCTATGTGACTTTGGGCAAGGTTCTTACAACTTCTAAGCCATGATATGTTCATCTATGATGTGAGAATCGTATTATTAATATCAAATGCTTACAGTGAAGATTAACTGTGTAAATGCTTATAAAATGCTTAAAAGAAGACCTAAACCTGTGGTTGACAAATTAACACCCATGGAGCCAAATTGGCCCTCTGTCTGCTTTTGAATAAGATTTTAGTGTAACACAACCATGCTCACTCATTTACATGCTGTTTATGGCTCCTTGTACTCTACAACGGCAGTTGAATAGTTCCAAGAGAGACCATACGGCCTACAAAGCTATCTGACCATTCATAGAAAGAGTTTGCTGACCCCTAGCCTACATAATAGTGTGTGCTCAGTGAGTGTTGGACATCACTATCTATGTCAATATGTATCTGTAGGGGAGGTTTGTGTGCATATAATTCCCAACCCGACAGACTACAAAATTCTTGGTTATGCATGGTACTTTCCAGATATAAAGAAATAGGACCCTAAATACAGTGGTGCTAGCCCCTCTAAGATCATTACCTAATTTCTGACATTCTAATGATACATATCACAGAAAAAGATACTATAATTCTCAAACTGATCAATTCACTTTAATCTTTTATAAGAAAATAGTTTCTATATTATACAGTATGTTTGGAAGTTTTTTAGGGGGGAGGGGTATATTGGCAGGGGTAGTCCACAAAAGCAAATAAATGATGTGGTACTGCAATTCCAAAAAGCAGTTATAGCATGATAAACTTATATTCCAAGTACCAGGAACAAAACATGCTTGTAAGAATTGACCTAGAGAAAATATTAAATAGGAAAATGTCATAATTTAGAAATCTATTCGTAACTTCATAAATAAATTTCCTGTACTTAATTGTGAAACTTATCAGTCTGCCTGCCTTCCAAAAACCACACATAGGCTAATAAAAACAACAGGTTAGAAATAGGGAAATAGGTTTCTGTCTCACTGATTATGTAAATTGGGATAATCTCTATTTGAAAATGGGATAACATATCCATCCTTTCGTGTTTGAAAATTAAAAATGAAACATAAAAATGTGGCATTCTTAAAAAAAAAAAAAAAACGAAAAACCAACTCCATTAAATCCAAATTACTCATTTATAATAGAATTGAAAAAGGAGGGGAAAGAAAAGACATTTAAAGCCCAAATTTCTATTAAAAATCTGCTATAGGAGGCACCGTGCTGGAAGCATAGTTTCTCTATAAGTCCAACAGCAAGTTAGTTCTCTACTAAAACGTACTGTTGGGTAAGATATGGAGCAACTGACATTGAGAGGTCACATTGGATGGAAAGTAACAGTCTTACATACCAAAGTACTAAACTAGGCAAGATGCTCTGACCCACTATGGACCAGCAGATTATCTCCCATCTCATACTCACTCCAGGGCACAGGCTCACAAAATTTTTTTCTCCATGTCTACTTAGCAGACCATGTGTAATTGAATTCCAGAAAGCTAAAAGTACTTATAACACTGTTTTATTATTATACTAGTTAATAATTTTAATGTTTCTTAAAAATATCATATTATTATAAACTTCTGCCAAAATGTGAGCAGCATATTCTACAAACTCACCCTGGCCACCAGAATATACAACGTCAGTGTGCAGTATAATGTTCTTACCTTGTTCTTCACTTCCTTCCTTACAAAGACTAGAGCTCTGGCCCAGACTTAAACTGATATCATCAGAAGTCTTAGCGGTGTCTGTATCTCCTACAAAGTTAAGAGAAACATGTGAACACATTATATTAAAAGTAAAGGCTGTACAATGTGGCATAACAGAAAGGCTATCGACTACACTAATTTACTATACACTATACTAGCATACGATGTCTACTAGAGCAGCTTTTATATACCACGGGTTACAATAATGGATGATGCACTGAACTAACAGGAAGCATCATGGACTATGAGACCACATCTTTATTCTCACAGCACTATAAACCAAATTACAGAAAGCTTCATCCTGTTAACTAATAAAACTTTCTTTAAAAAGAAGCACTTTTTAAAAAGAAATGGAAATTATGTGGTAACAACTTGAAACAATATAAATTTCCTTCCCAGGGAAAATTTTAAAAACTCCCCTAAAAAAGTAAAGGGTAAAAAAGTTTACCTTAAATAGATGCATGTAAAAGGCACATATAAGACATACAGAAAAACACTTTCCCTCTTTTTTTACTGTCTTATTTGCACCCAATTTGAAGGTTTCACATTAAATTACTCAGTTTTCCACAAACCTCACCAAAACCCATGAAAAGTATTTTCCTTCAAGGCAAGGAAGTTTCTTATATACCAAAACTTACAATTCATGCAATGTAATGCAAATGTTCAAATATGTTTGTGAGATTTGGATGGTGAAAGGAGAACCCAATTTAAATCAAGTAACCTTTAACATAAGATACATAACTGCATCTACAAAGTAATTTCAAGAATGATTTCTCATTATGTGTGAATATATAGTACTCAGTTATCTTTATTACATCAAAAATGAAATGGAAAGTCATAGGCAACTTCCAACTTAGATAATATCTACCTTTAATAGTTGCTGCTGTCCCAAGACGAGAGGAACCAGATCCAATCTGAAAACACGACATGAAGTAAAACTAATTAAATGCTACGTCATGATCAGTATGGACTAGCAAGATCATCAAGCAAAACGGTATTATCAAAACATGCTATCGGTCACTTGTATTGAAGGATACCCGCCAGGTATGTTGTATGAGAGCCACAGAACCTTTTTGCTGCAGCACATCCTGCGTGTATGGTACAGACACGCTAGGGCACGGGATCCCTCTGCATGCTCAGACTGACGGAGCCCACAGAGCAGGATGCCTCCAACGTCAAGCAATCCATGTCATACAATTACTATCATTTTTTATATTGTGTCATGACATGTTCATATTATAAAAAAAGCAAAACTGGGTGTTAAGTCTATCTGAAACAAATTTAGACTTATCAGGGCATATAAAAGGAAGGTTTGGGACCACACATTAATATATGCTACAAAGAGCAACCTAAATCTTACTGTCAAACTGTTAGTGTATCAGTATGTACTTTCCTGAGTTCTAGACAAAAAGTACTTCTTTGTAGACTGCTATAACATATTTAAAAACAAAAAACTAAGGGATCCACGTAAAATGCTTAGCACTAACTATAAACAGAAAACTAAAACCTATCGAGCTTTTAATGCTTATATTCCAGATGATGTAATACTCCCTGAAATCTTAGCCATCATTCATTATACTACCATAAAAATTATATAAACAAATACCACATATTCCACAAACAATTAAGGAAATCAAACATAACAATATGAGAGTTACTAAATCCACAAGTCTTAGTAACTTTCTATACCTGTTTTCAAGATATTTAAGAAGAATACAGTCAAGCAAATTTAATATTTTAGAATAAAATTAAGAATATTCATCTAATACTTTGTGTTTTACCAAATCTTTCTTTTTTTCTAAGATTTCATTTTTCGGGGTGCCTGGGTGGCTCAGTTGGTTGGGTGTCTGCCTTTGGCTCAGGCCATGATCTCAGGGTCCTGGGATTGAGCTCCTTGTCAGGCTCCTTGCTCATCAGGGAGTCTGCTTCTCCCTCTTGCTCTGTCTACTGCACTGCCTACTTGTGCTCTCTGTCAAATAAATAAATAAAATCTTTAAAAAAAGATGTCACTTTTTTTAAGTAATCTCTACAACCAACTGGGGCTCGAACTCACAACCCCGAGATCAAGAGTTATACATGCTCTCCTGACTGAGCCAGCCAGGCAGCCCCCAAATCTTTCCTTTCACTGATTCAACTGATAGAAGTATACAATAAAATTTGCTAAAAATATTAATATTGAGTCTGAAGGGGCATGAGGAACTTTCTCGATCTCGATGGCAATTAAGGGGTGTATACATATATAAAAACCCACTGTGCTGTACACTTAAGAAGTGTATACTATGTTGTGTAATAGTTATATGTCAGTGAAAAAGTGAGTAAAAATAAGCACATACAAACAGGTTAGAACTGCTACCTTTTGATGTGGCCAAAAAAAAAAAAAAAGAGTTTTGCAACATTTTTGAACAATTTATTAAGCCTGATGCTGATTTTTCCTAATTCTGCTTTCAATTAGCCATAAAAGGCATTGCAACTAGACAGAAAAAGGTCAACAAGCATTTTACTGCAAAATAAAATTTCATGCTTATCACACCTGCTAGACAAGTTATAGAATTAATATATGCTATTTCTCAACTAGAATAATACCCATAACTTCCTAGACAAAAAAAAAAAAAAAAGTAAGCAAACAAATAAAAATACCCACTTTTTATGCACATCCTTCTAGAAATTTAAACTTAAAAAACAACTTTTGAATACCGGTATAGCAGTCATTTGCCTGCAACCGCAAAGTGTTCCCTTTTCTTTCCTTAACAAGTTTCCCACTCTGTTCAGATGTTGGGCGTGTATCTTTTGATCTATGAGAAGTGGGCCCTGGTTGTGGTCAATGATCATGTGTCTGCTGGAGGGCTTCAGGGAAAGATCTTTGCATGCCTCAGGAGACGACAAGCAAGGACAACTGTGCCCACATGGCCACCTGCCTCTTATCTTGCATCAGGGTCAGGACTGAGGCTGCTGTGCTCACTGTGCAATCCTGAGGGACAAGCCAACCCTAGCCCTAACATGACTGAGCTGCTGAACAAATGCCTCCCATGCACCTCCAGTCTTGGAGGACACACATAAACTCTCATTTCTTCAAGTCACTTAATTAGTTGAGTTCTATTACTTGCTGACAAAAGCATTCTTAATGGATACAATGGGTAGGTTATATTTTACTCTTCATGCTTTTCTGTATTATTTAAATTTATCCCCCCAAAATATAAGAGTGGGGACTATTCGTGTCTGAAACAGACAACTCAGAATATGAACTACGGTACATCCAAATAGGAGAATGCATTCCCCAAAATGTCACCACAGAAAAACACTGAATGTCATTAACATTCATGATATAGTCAACAAAGAAAATCAAATTCCAAATAGCATGCACACTATAATCCCACCTTTCTTAAAAATGGTTTTTGATTATGACATTATGGACGATTTTTATTTTCTTCTGTTTGCTTTCCCTAAGTAGCTATTTGTCTAAAAATAAACATATTTAGAAAAGGAAAATTTTAAGGAAAAAAAGTGGTCTACACAAACCAAAATATTTCAGTTGTTTCTTCTCTTTGGTAAGTGCCATAGGAAAGGTCAGGAAGGATTATGGGTATAAGAAGAAAAGTTTCTTCCGACTAAATAACCATCAGGCAACGCCGCCTCCTCCATGAAGGCTTTGCCCCTCCTTCTAGCTGGAAACAATTATTCTCTCCTCTAAAATCATTAGTCCCTTTTCTGTACCATTCCTATGACTATTACTTTGTATCTTAGACTTACATTTTCTTGGTAAAATACATCATGTTTATAACCTTGGTTCCTTATAGCACATCTATCCTGACATTGTAAACTCTCTGAGGATAAGACCCACTCCCCACTCCATTCAAATAAATTGACTTGAAAGCTATTGGGCACTAAAATATATGAGGGAAGACAAATGACAGAAGGGAGGTACAGGGCAATAAAAAACAAGAAAAAAGAAAGGGAAAGGAAATAGAAGATGGAAGGAAGAAGGGCAGAGGCGGCAAGAAGAGTAATGACTAGGACATAGCCATCACGCTCAAGTTCACTACCTAGTGCAGAAGACATTTACATAAACAACTACGATAATGTATAGTAAGTGCTATAAGATAAAACAGGGACAAGAAGCACAGTGTATCCACTGGTAATATCTCCACCAATATACAAAAAGGCTGACTCTACTTCTTCACTTCAACTTCCCTAAAGGGGAACAATAATTATGTCAACCATTTATTTTGTTATAAATGGGATAAAACTAAAACACCAAAATCCAAGTAGCATAGTAACTTCCAGTATTTGCCCATTTTTATTCAAGAGTTAATATTTTAAGGAAAACCAAATTAGGTATGCTGTGTATTTATGTGCAGATGAGCTTTAATGACACTCAGAATGGGAGTCCCTCCCTGAAACAAGTAGGGCAAATTCCAAAAGACACGATGCCATGGTAGTTACGGAAGATGGCTGGCCACTGCTGCACCCTTTCAACTGTCCTACTGGGAAAAAAGGAAAAAAAAAAAGTTTGGCTCTCCAAAAGATTGTGGGAAAAACATAGGCTTAACTCCTTTGGTAATCTGACATTGCCAACATCTGTGAGTATGGACAAAGGCCAGGGTTAATTAAGCATACAAAACATGCAGCCATATTTAAAGACTAAGCCATTTCATTTCATAGAGAGACTGAGAAAGCAAGACCAACCAAAAGAGAATCAAGGATAGTAATACTTCTCTTTAAACTGGTATTGTAATAATTGAAACTTAAAAGGTATGGACTGGGGCGCCTGGGTGGCTCAGTCGTTAAGCGTCTGCCTTCGGCTCAGGTCATGGGCCCAGGGTCCTGGGATCGAGCCCCGCATCTGGCTCCCTGCTCGGCGGGAAGCCTGCTTCTCCCTCCCCCACTCCCCCTGCTTGTGTTCCCTCTCTCGCTGTATCTCTGTCAAATAAATAAATAACATCTTAAAAAAAAACTGTTATTAAAAAAATAATAAAAAAAAGGTATGGACCGAATTAAAATGTCACAGCCCTTTGCAATAATGTTTTATTTTACTAATTTCTGAGAGAGGGAGAGAAAAACACACACAAGCATGGGGGAGGGGCAGAGGAAAAGGGACAGAGAGAATCCTGAGCTCAGGGCTTGTTCTCACAACCCTGAGACCATGACCTGAGCTGAAACCAAGAGTCTGACACTTAACCAACTGAGCCACCCAGGCGCCCCACTGTTGTTGTTGTTTTTTAATTCTAACATTTCCCATCTGCTTGTTACAGAAAGAAGACAAATTTAAGGACATATCTGTTCTACACCACACTTAATCACAACTAAAACTGCAACCAAAAATTCATGGACTTGAAGTTTAAATCATGAAACACAATTCAAACAGAGGCAAATCTTCTACCAAAATATATTAGGAAACAAGACCCTATTCAAGATTTTGATTCACAGAATATGGTGTTTTCCCTAATACTGTTCTGAAATAGTGTAGGACTAAACAATGTGGAACAGTAATACTGTGGGACAGTCAGGGTAACTAGGTCTGCTACTTAATCATTTGCTAAATAAAGAGGCAGGTCTGATTCTACCTCTAAAGTTCTATTATCTGTATAGATAAAGATAATTAGCACCCACTCACTGAAAATCAACTCTGTGCAAGGCAGTCTATTAGACCACGGAGGAAAGAGGAAAACCTGCTCTGTAGAGGATTACACATTGCCGCATAATGATCACACACCAAAAACGAAGTGCTAAATAAATTCATTCATAAGGGCTCCATCTGCAAGAGAAAGAGGCAATACCACAAGGTCTCTGAAAATCTTGAGAAACGGGTGGTTATGACAAAAGTTAGAGTTAGGCCAGGAAAAAAAAAAAGGAAGTCTCTGGAACAGAAAGGAGGAAGAGTGATTCCAACCCACAAGCAGTGTAGAACAGTAGAAAGACTGCAGTGAAAATCAAGACGTGAGGGCTAGACCCTGATAAAACCCAGCTGTTTCCTCTTCTATATAATGAAAGGGCTGACAGAAGAACCCACCACAACCCGTAGTTATCTTAAGTTCGCCTATGACAAGACCTCGAAGTTTCGCGCCAGGTTTACTTTCTTATGCTTCTACAGCATTACTCCAGCTACCAGACTCATCTACTGAGAAGGCAGGCAGGCGTAAGTGGGACTTTGATTCACGTGGGAGATGTTCAACGAGAGACAGAAATGCAGCCGTGAAGGCCCAGCTGGGGTCAGAACGACGGTACAGCAGGTGTCAGCCAAGTTCTGAGAGCAGACTTTCAGAGTTACTATTTTAAGTTAAAAGTTACAGAACAGAAAGACAGTAAAGTTGGCAAAAGCAGATCTGTATTCTACATCTAGCTCTACCACTAACACCCTGAAAAGCACGATTTTGAGAAAGTTTTAAGTATAATTAACATACGTTATATTAGTTTCAGGTGTACAACACACTGCTTCAACAATTCTATACATTACTCGATGCCCACCATGATAAGTGTAGATTTTGAAGAAATTACATCTTTTTCTGCCGTGCTTAAGCTAGGAGTAACCCCTAACATCTATCCCCCTCCAATACCAAAAATGTGAAAGTTAGTAAGACGGTGCAAGCAAGGACCTAATTTTCCTAAGGGCATTCACCACAACTGTCATGATCAAAACTACCCTAGGCAATGAGCATGACATGCGTGCTCAGCAAAAATATACTTAATTAATGTGAAAACTCAATTAAAAATAAGAATACTAAAGAATGGTACTTATTAATAAACAATCATAAAAACTTACTAATCAGCACGATAAACCCAAACACCAACTGACTATTACAGAATTACTTGAGACCACCATCAAGAGAAGGGAAAAAGACAAAATAAAATCACAGGTTCCTACCTGGTTGCTTGGATCTAGGCCAGCATAAGAATTTCTTGAACTGCAACCAACTGGGGGTGTGGCCTCTCGAATGAACTCAGACATTTCAATCCCTCCACCAGGATCACTGTGGGGAAAAAATGAGAAAAAGAGAGTGATTGTCATTATTCTGCCACCAATGGTTTTTTATTATTTTTTAAGTTATACCTTTTCCTATAAAACTAAAAGGTTCTATTTCTAACAGAGCAAACAGCAATTAAAAAAAGATCATTCTTCATTTGTAAGTCTTATAATCTGAACTATCTTATAACCACATCATTACTTGAAAATATTTAAAACTCTCTCCCAGTCTATACCCAATCCGACTTTAGAAACTAGCCTTAGTTACAATTATAGATGCTAAATGTAGCGCATATTTTATGACATGTGCCATAAAACCCCTCTAGCAAAGACATGATTTGCCCTTTTTTTCCCAACAACAAGGAGAAATTGGCCATGGCAAACACAGAAAGTAATCAGATCTTACAGGGCCACTCTCCGGGAGCACAGTCTGACTGAGCTCGAGGAACATGCAAGAGAACAGTCCACCTTGTCAAGCTAACTCTATCTGTATTTTTTATGTTAACAGCATTTATATGGGATACTAACTTGTTTTACAGAAGAAGAAAGCTAAGATTATAGATTTTTACTGAATTAGAAGGCTTAAGTTTAAAAAATAAAATGATGTAGTAGAACAGGTATTAGAAAGACAAGAGAGAAGTACTAAGTTCAAAGAACGAAGACGTCTACACAGAGTACTTAAAGACAGGATCTAAAATTAGGGGGAAAGATCACACCAAATTTCAAAAAACTTAGAAAGTTTTATAATAAGGTTCCTCAGGAACATAACTTTCAGAATAACTCAGGTCTAAAAGTTACCATAATCCTATTTTTTTCCCAAAGATTTTTACTCATTCTACCTGGTACATACAAAGTAAGTACTTGATAAAGTTACTGTTACCAAGGATAAAAGTTCTAGTATACATGCTAGAATTATAGCAGATATAAGCTACCCTGCTATCCAGCATCTACTTCAATCATCTGGTTAACAACAACACCAAAAAGCAACCCAAAATTCTTCTGTTGAGCCACCTCATCCCAAACTCTCATATGGTTTTGGGTAATGTTGACCATACACTCAGGTCTAGGGGTGAGCACTACTGACCAAAGCCAATCAGCATGTTCCTTTCTTTTGGTCATAGAACTTAGTCCTAGAACAAGCACAAGACCTAACTCAGGCTAATATGAATCAGGCCAGGAGTGTTCTACTATTAAGACAGGTTATTTCTCTATATTTGCTAGTCTTAATGCTGAGAATATTTAAGGCCTGGCGCTGCTGCAGCCATTTTACAACTGTAAGGGGGGACGCTAAGAAGTCAACTGAAAAAAAAAAAAAGAGTCCAGCCTGGTAAAGGGAAGCCAGATCATGAAATGACTGACACTGCACCTTGCCAATCTGAAGACATCCCTCGCACATAGACTTTGCAGTAGTGTGTGCCATAAATTTCCATAAGCCTATTTCAATGAGGTATTCTGACAGCTGCAAGCAAAAAATACAAGCAAAATAGAATTTGCTTGCAAGTATACCTTCCATTTAATAAGTATTTATCACTACAGCTGTCTGAATTCTAGTGACGTTTCAGTATTAATGGTCTCATAACTATCGTGTGTCTGTTTACTTAATGGGTTCCTAACTCTAGGCCATTGACTGCGGTTAGCTAACTCATGTTTATTAAAGAAAATCAGCTAACTTGTTATCCATTTATACAAATAAAATATACTGGAACTCAGTTACAAATTTGATAGCAATTCAGCATGCAAATGTCCATGTGTGAGAAAAGTGAAACATGCTCAAGTTTGTTAGCTGTTTGGTGTTAACTCATACAGGATACATAGGCCAGAATGAGAAATCTTTTTCTAATTTGGTAAAATCATAAGTGTGTACGTAGAGACAGCTATCATCACACTGAATGAGTGGTGAGTACTAACCAGCAACATCACTGTTCTCTCCACTGCTCTCCAGAATGCATTCTCTAAGTCAGATTCCACGGAAATCAGAAGATGGAGAGCAAGGTAAAGATTAAGGAATAAAATATTCAACCCCAGAGAAAAGGATAGAGAGCCCTCACCTTTCCTAGTTTATATACATCAACTCTATTGGTATATAATTCACATATCATCCAATTTATCCATTTAAACTTTGCAAGTCAATAGTTTTTAATATATTCCATAAAGTCATGCAACCATCACATTAATTTTTACCACCTCAATAACAAACCCCTTCAGCTATAACCCCCCTACCCTTCCCATCCACCCCCAGCCTTAAGTAGCCAGAAATCTGTTTTCTGTCTTTATAGATTTGCCTATTTTGCATGTTTCATATAAATGGAATCATAATATGTGTGGTCTTTGTGATTGGCTTCTTTCACTTAGCCTAATGTTTTCAAGGTTAATCCATGCTATAGCAACTATCAGTACTTCATATTTTTTATGGCCAAATAATACTGCATTGTATGGACAGAACACATTTTGTCTATTCATTCATCAGTTGATGGACAATACTGCCTACTTATAGACAAGTACAAATGATTACAATCTGAAGGTAAAGTTATTATAAATAACAAATATTTACTAAGTACTTAATACATTCCAGTAATAGGGGCATGTGCTTTATTTGCATTTTCTCACAAAATATCCTCCTAAAATCTAAGATATAAATACTATTATCCTCATTTTACAGATGAAAAACCTGAAAACCAAAAGGTGTAAAAATCTAAGAGTGAACAACATAAACTGAATTGTTGGTATATGGAGTTCAGGTGGGAAGGGAGGATACAAATAATATTTACATAGTACGCTACAATTTGTTGTATCTGTTTTCTCCTTCCCACACACCTGAATGTAGGTACGTATAGCCAATGAGAACTGAGACAAGATTTGAACACCTTGCCCATACAGCTCTAAAGTTTACTGTAAAACACCAATACTTGTCTTTGAAAAAAAAAATAAGCATTAAAGTTTTCTTTCCATTTCAAAACCAAAAATAAACACCATTGTCTAAAAACAGGGTTTCCTAACCTCAGCACTATTGACATTTGGGCCATTTCATTCCTGATTGTGAGGGACCACCTTGTGCATTGTAGGATGGTTAGCATCTTCCCTGACCTCTACCCGCTGAATGCCAGCAGCACTCCCCTCTGGTTGGGATAAACAAAAATGTCTCCAAATATTGCCAGATGTCTCTTTGTGGGGAAAATCACCCCCAACTGAGAAACAATGATCCAGAACCAGTGCCCAGTGGCCAACACTGAGTGGGAAGGAGGTATTAAAGGGAGCAAAAAAAGGATGAATGAAAAAATGGATAGCTCCTTTTGTAACAAAATAATCCTCTAGCAAAATTACCATACCTCTCTTTCTACAAATTCAGAAGTAGGTGTCCTAAATATAGCTAAACACACAAAATGGCTGAGTAAGAGTTTTCTTTATTAGCAAGACTTGCAGATTTTTGGCAATGGCAATTTCAGCACATACCTGGAAAGTATAGCAGTTTACAATTCTCACAGAAGCAAAGTGGTCTACTGCAGTAAGCAATACACCAAATTCAGGGAATCTCTACCTTTATGCCTTAATTTCCCCATCTGTTAAAAAAAAAAAATACCAGGTACACGGAGAGGCAGAAAAGCAGAAGGGGTCTAATCTGAATTATAAAGGAGACTTCACAAACTAATTTGTTGGTTATTAGTATCATTAACTGCTCAGGCTTTAATCAGAAACTTCACAGCACCATTACAGTACTAAATTTACAAATCTAATCTAGATCACAACAATGTTCATAAAAGTATAGATAAAAACAAAGTTCTTAAATCTTCAAAAAAATTTAGCCTAAAATTTGCCCACATATAGTTTAAATGGGTCCTTAATTTACAGTAGTTCAAGCATTACCGCCATTTGAAACAGAAAATACAGTCTCCAAAATATTTGTATTCAAATCCTAAAATCCAATGTGCTAATTTCCTCTCCTGAAACATTAGAAAGGTAATACAAATATTAATGACTTTCATTCTTTCTCTAAGATAAAGATTTAAAAGGATTTTTGAACTGCTGTACCAGAGCCAATGACAACCATAAGGCTCAAGTAGTCCTCCTGCATTCATTCATTCATGCAACAAACTGACAACTATACTGTACCAAGCACAGTGATACGCTCTGGAAATGAAAGTAGTTTCCTGTTCATTTCTTCTCCTCAGAATGGAATGTGAGTCCCAAGTGGGAGGGTGGGGGAAAACAGATATCAAGAACAAAAAACTACAACAAAGATCTCATTTAACGGTGAAATTTCAAAACACTTTAAGATTAGAAAAAGACAGGGATATAAGCCAATACCATTTTACTTTAACCACGTGCTAGAAATCATAGCCCATGAAAGTTAAACAAGTATAGGACTAGAAAGGAAGAAATAAAACTGTCATCATTTATAGAAAATCAAGAAATACCTATAAAGTTTCAACATTAATAGGGAAGTTTAGTGAGGCTTCTGGGTGAAAACTAAACTGTTATATTTAAAGGGGAAAAAAAAACAGAAAAGGTAATTGTAAAACATTTCTGTAATAAAAAAGCTATAAAATAATTTGGCAAATTTAACAAAAGCTATGCAAGTCTTTTAATGAAGAAATGATAAAACTTTACTGAAAGATATTAAAGAAGGCTAAATAAATGGAGAGATTCAATATTGTAAAGATATTGATTCTCAGCAGAGGAATCTACATATTCAATGTAATGTCAATAAAAATCCTAAGTTCTTGTAGACTGTCCAACAGGCTCTAAGTTTTATATCCAAAAACAAAGAGCCAAGAATAATAGTCACTCCTGAAAAAAAAAAAAACAAAGTAGGAAGTCTGTCCCACCAGACATCAAAAGTCACATTATGAAGCTACAATGACTGGGACAGTGTGGTAATGGCACAGGCACAAACAACCAGATCAACAGAGCAGGACAGAGAGCCCAGAAACACACCCACCACATGCAGAAACTTAACTTACGAGAAAGTGAGTGCTACACATCACCAAGGAAAAGAGTCTCTAACAAACA